TATCTTAATTATTTCTCACTTTAATTTAAACTTGTACTTTTTATATATAAATCATATACATATGTAGCTTTTGATATAAAAGGAACAAATAATCAGCGAATATACAATTCAATATATGAGTTTAATCTATCAGTAAGTATTATCAGTAGTAATACAAGGTTTAAAGATTTATCGGATAGCCCCTATTTTATATCCCTACCATAAATATAATATCAAAAATTAAATTTGTTTGATTCATGTTTTCTTTATCAAGATTTCATGACTATTCCTTGTTGCATCATACATTGTCTACAAGAATAATGGCAGGACACTAGTAAATATATCGATAAAGTTTAATTTATATTAGTTTGATCAAATAAAGAAAAGTGACGAGCATTGTAGCATCTTCGGCATGATATCAAAAAGTCCGTTATACATACATCTTTAATATTGATTACATATGCGATATTACGTGTGCATGACAAAAATTGTTTATTTTTTTCTCATATATATAGAGCTGTAAGGATTTTTTTAGAGTTTTTTAATACCGTATTTTTTCATGTTGATAAAAATGAGAAAATGCAGTATTAAAAAGTTGATAAAAAATTCTGAAAAAATTTGTAGAGTTCTATGAGAAAAAAATAAACAATTTTTACAGTTTTTCTGTAAAGTTGAGTATTTGAGTAAAAAATTATTGTACAATTATATTGTATTAATTGTACAACTTAAACATTGAGAAAGAACTCTTTAACCAGCTTAATGTTCAAATTGTACAATTAACTCAGAATCACCAAGAGTCCATGACTTCAATTTACTGTTGTATGCGCTGAGAATGGCTTAAATATATGTCGATATTATATTAAATATAACGTTTTCATATGTATTGTTAATCAAGAAATTATGTATAAAATAATTACTTTTATGTAATAATATATGTTAATAAATATACGCTATAGTTAACTGCGTTTACTCTCAATTGCCCTCATTTCACTTCATAATTAATTTTAACGAATCTGAGAGCCAAAATCAAATTAACAAATTAAATATTTGTTTTAATATTCTTACTTGTTATGCGTATTCACATTACGATCTTAATAAATCATTCATTTTTTGCAAATAATGTAAATTTTTATAAAGATTTAATTTTATCTTTCTAACACATTCGGATATATTACAGATATTTCCAATATTCTGAAACAATTAATTTTTATTCTTAATGACAATTAATGATGACACAATAAAACATTTTTACAATCCATTTCAAATAACAAATTGCAAAGAGAAAAATCATTTGTTATAATTGATTATAATTGATTATTTAATGAACGTCTAAAAAATATATCTGGAAAATGCATTGACATAGAATGTGGATCTGGATATAACAAATATAATTTTGTCAGCTCTTGATCCAAATGCAATAGTAAGAAATAAAAAAAACAACAATCAATATAAAATGTATAGTAACATATTAATATAAATTGCTTATAATTGTTACTAACTTTATTGTAAAGTTTATTTAATAATTTTATATCTAAAGATATAGATATCGGAAGGAATGATTGATTATGCAAAGAAAAAATTCACTACGCAAAAACCACTCGAATTTGATGTTTTAAATATACAACTGAAAATTTGCTTACAAAATATATATCTGAATTTTATTTCGTACTTTTATTCCACACTTTGCATTGGTGCAATGATATCAAATGAGAAAGATTTTTTAATAAAGATAATTACATTTTTTTCTTAACGTATTTTTTCTTTACAAATGTACTATAATAGTGGAATTAATTATCGATGGCATAAATAACAATCGATGGCTATTTATACAAAATAATATCACTTTTCTGAAAAATAAATTTATAAATGCACATTTATGAAAACAGTATTTAATTTAACCTTTTTAATGATATGTGTTATAATTAAACATGGAATTTCTATAAAATTTTTTTTCTTTATCTCCAATAATATATACCTCTAGATCTAAAAATTTATACATTTAATATGTCATTTTTCTCTACCTTTTATAGGTACGTAGATTATATAACAATAATAACGTAAAAAATAACATTCTATATTAGATGCTTTTAATGCGTATCTCATCCTAAAATAAATTTCATGCTAAAAATGAAAAAAAATAATTTGAACTTTTAAGACGTCATCATAATAAAAGAGATGTATTTGATACACGATTAGTTTCACAATCCCATTTATTTAGGATGTTATTTAAACTATTTAATTCTTAACTTTATCGTTGACATAAAAAGATTTTGTTTGTCATGTTAAAAGTTATATCAAGAGCAAGTAATACGCAATACTTTAGAAATTGAGAATGTGGAATATAATTCATCGTTTAAAGTTTAAATTATATGGTAAATATTAATTATTGTAATTTAAAGCCAATGAACTAAAGTATATTTTTTAAATAAAAGCTTTTATTAATTGATAAACAATTAATAAAAACTTTTTCCTTAGATTTTCGCAGTTATCTACTTTGCCCCATACTTATAATATTTTGTCGAAAATAAATTAATTTATTATACTATAGACTTTTTCTGGTATATCATAAAAGATACGATTTAAGCAATTGATCTCCTCAATTGTATCTATCGAGTTCGGAAAACATATTTTTTCTTAAATTAATAAAAAATGCAATTATAAAGGTTTATACATAGTGACAAATTGAAAAATATCTAATATATGTAATAGTAATACGAGCGTGTAAGACTTACAGAATAAGCCTCTTAATTCCAAATAAATCTTATTTTATTAAAATCAATATGTTCCCACTCGGTACCATTTTTATATCTATATCAAAAAAACAATAATTTAAGAAATTGAATGTTTCCAGAAAATAGTTATAAATAAATAAAAAAAACGGTGCGTCAATAATATTATTATAAAAATATATGTATAAAAATATTTAAATATAATATTTAAATATTTACATAAAGATGCAATAAGCAAAATCAGGTCAGCGATCTCAGATGTTTTGCTTTCAACGATGAATGTGGGTTAGTGAAACTTTCAAACCGTTACTTGCATCGCGTGATTCTTCCTAAATTAAAATACAATATAATATATTCCATAAAAAGAAAAATAATAACATCTACAGATAACTTCCAAAATAGTTTAAATAATGTCTATTAAATAATAACTATAAAGTAGTTTAACAAACATAAGTATAAATATAATGCCATCTTTTAACATTTTTATCAGTTTTAATAACAGTATTAAGATATAATTACATGACCAATAAAGAAATTTTATCTAAAAAATTTTAAGTCATTATATTTTATTTATATACCATGAGCTTTTTTAATAAAAAATACTCTATCTTTGATATATTTTGATCTCAATAAAAAATATTCCTTATTTCCTGTATAAGATAAGAACTGCCCAAAGTAATTTATAAATCCTCATCATTGAAAAAAAGCATTATTGTTGCTATCCCGATAGCATAAAATTTGTCTTTAGTAAGAATATAAATATTTCAAAATTAAAAACATTTATATTTTATAAAAGAATATTTACATATTTTTAACAAATACAAATATTAATCTCAAAAAATAAAAACACAAAGAAATTCAAAGCTACACAAAACATATTAAGCAGAGTAAATAACTGTTCCACTTTAATAATATAATCTGCCCTTCTTTTCGCGCTGACTCTCATTAGCCTTATATTTCAGTCTTTATATATTTTAAAGATTGAGAGTCCATGTAATTTTTTATTAGTTATTTTAAATCTATGCTGGCTGCAAGATGGATCAAATACTAGTTCCTTTATCGTTCTTTAATTTCATTTCTGTAACATTTGGCATCATATTATTGAATTTTATAAAGCTTTGGATTGCTGAAGAAGATTCTAACATTGAAACATTAAAAATTGGAATAAAGATGACATCATACATTAAACGGAGTAAATAGTTATTCCACTTCAATAATATGAGCCTCTCTTTCCTTAATTCTCATTAGTTTGAGCTTCTTTGTGTTTGTATTTTTTAAAGATTAAGAGTTCAAGTAATTTGTTACTATTTATTCTTAATTTCAAAATATTCGAATCGAATATTTTGTGTCTATATACAATAAATATTCTATTTAGAAATTCATATTTATAATTAAAAAATTCTAAAATATTTCTCAAACAAAACATTTATAGAATGTTCCTTAAAATATTCATAGACTTAACGAGAAGTGCGTATGGAATAGTCTTACTTATGGATAAGATTATGTTTAGACGTATAATAAAAACGTAGAATATTCTATAAAACATTATATAAAATATTCTATACACATTTATAGGATATTTATATAGTTGTGTGATACAAAAATGTACTATGTAAACATGATCTTAATATTTAACGGTGTTTTAATACATCCATAAAAAATATGAATAGTTTTAATAAATGTTTGTACAACACAGAATGTTTCTTTGCTTTTTAAATGTATGTCTTTTCTTAGTTCTTAAAAGAAAAATGTTTTAAAGGCATTATGGCGCAAGAGTGTATTTCGAAAATTTGTAAAGAGTTAAATAAATGTATAAAAATAATATATTGTATATATACTAACAAATATATACTAACAATATATAGTACTATATATTATATTATATGTATACATCTAATATATAAGATGCGTTCCATTTTGTGCTTTATAGCACTTGTAAGCATTATTTGTTCTTGTAAGTTTTATTTGTCCTTGCATAATTTGATAGACAATAAAGATGAATTGATTTATAGGGTGTGAATGTGAAAACGAAACGAATCCACAGTAAAAAAAAACTTCAATAACCTACAGATCTTTTAACGTCCTAAAACCTTCTTTTCAAAGAAATGTGATCAATAATTTCGGTAATTTTTATTTATAATGTTTTTTAACATAATTATAATTGAATATAGTTATAAAAATAATAAAATATTGTATATTTACTATTTATTCATGCTGTTGAGTCAATGACGGTAATCTATTCTTCGGTATTTTTAAAAAATGAAGCTTTTATTCAATTCAACAAGAATCCAAAATTTTATATCAAATAGCAACTAAGATTTTGACTATATATTACTATTTATTAATATTATATGAATTATTCCAAAACTCTAAAAAGAATGTATTTTTAGAGCGTATTTTTCTCTTCGCGTGCAGCTTGTTTTGCATTTTATGTATGAAGATAATAAGTATGAAAAACCTTACAAATATAGGAGACTTCTATCCATAGAATTTCGACAACTATTATCGCAGACCAAATGAAAACGATTGCGTATAATTCGGATAAAGAAATAAAAAATGCGTACATGCGAATGTTACAATCATCCTTCGAATTATGTATTGATTGATCCAAATATAATTTTTAATTACGTATATTGAGTCGGACTAAATTGTAAAAATAGGAAATATTAAAATTATACTATCTGTCAATTTGTTATTTGTAAAAATATGTTCTTTGTTTAAACTTAATGGATTTATGTACTGAAGAGGGTCAAATCTTGACCGAAACGTCTACATGTTAAAATAATAATATTAAACTTATTGACATCTTGAGCTGTGGCTGGTTATGTATGCTTTTTATTTTTTAACCTTTGTTAAACTTTTAGCCACTTTCTAATAATTAAAAATTTGAATGTATTTTTATTTACGATATACAGTCTGTTTAATATAATCGTGACTGACGTAACTTTTATACTATTATTTAAAAATGTAAAAATTACATATGTACCACATATTATAACCCTTTTAAACTAATAAGTTAACCAATTATTGTTATTGTCAATTATTGTCGACATCTTACAGTGTAATCTGTTTAATAAGAATGGTTAAATTGTGAAAATCGTTACATCATAAACTTTTAAACGAGATAGAGAGAAGGATTTTCCTCTACAACACATTATACATAGTCTTACAATTAGTCATTGTACATAGAATCTTAGTCATTGTTCGACTTTTGCTAGAAAACGATATATTTAATATCGAATTCTGTGTATACTAAAAAATTTGAAGTTTTTTTGCTTTGCCCGCATCCTAAAGAATCGAAAATATCACCGGAAGCAACTGCTAAGAATATAACTATTGAGATTATAATATAAAACCTTAAAATATATTCCTAACCTTAAAAAATATTTTCTAATTTATACTTTTACTCCATTTCCTAATTTATAGATTTATTTTAAAATTATTGAGATACTATAATAATAAGAAAAAGAAAAAATTAAGCAAATTGTTACATAAAAAACAATAGTGATATTGTACACGGCGAAAGCTTCCATTGATATACGTGCTTTCCATTCTTACGAAAACGAAAGACATCATGATTCCAAATTGAGAGGATTCACCACGTTTATGCCACGTGTACTGAATAGGACCGGGGCGATGCGATAGTGGCAGCGCGACAGTGAAAGAAGAACTTTCTTCGCAACCATAAAGACCGGCTAGCTCTTGGTCGATCAGTTTAACTTCTTTGTGGAGCTACGGTGAAAGCGTGCGCGAGCAACGGTGATCTTTGATGAAACCAGAATCCACAGCTTCTCTGTAAAACCCGAAAAGAACGGTGTCGCTGAACGAAATCGTGGCCGAATGTTCGTACGGACTCAATATAATGCTTGTCGGTCGTGGAATCCAGCAAAAAACGTGGTGTACGGTGCTACATCAATGAAAGCAAGAACGCATCCGTGAGTCAGAACGACATTGGTGCATTTCGTGAATAACAAATGGGAAAATGCCTTTGTACGTGTTCCGTAGCAAGCTCCCGATCTTAATCCTAATTATGACATTTTTTATATCGATATCAATTGAAGGATATAGACTTCGTCAAAAATTTATAATGGCTCCAATTGCTTCTACTGTAAGTATACTGATTCGATTAAAGTACCAAAATAAATTATGATAAATTAGCTCTCAACAAGATGAAAGAATAGTGAAACTAGTTCATATAAAATTTAAACTATTAAATAGAACATGATATTTTATAAATATATATATTACTATAATTTTTTGTGACAAATGTTTACAAAATATATAATATAACTTTTTTAAAGAATTCTTATTATGTAACTCGCAACAGTATTATAAAGGCAATTCTTCTTTTATTATTTTTTAATATTGATTATTATAACTCATACAGTACACATTATCCAAAAAACGTTTTAGAAACGTTCTTAAGACATTAAGAGAGGAATGTCCCTTGAAGGTCTATGCTGTATAAAAATTGATAATAATTTATAAATTATTCTAAATCATGCCGTTTTAATTTAAGAATTTAATGCTCTTATTTAACTTTTTATTCCTTGACATTACTTAGCATATCACACTATATTATTCAATCCAAACAGATATAAAAAATTTTAGAAATTAGATAATAATTGTAATCAGTCAAACATTATTAAAAGATTCGTGTAAATATTACGTGCGTGCGTGCAACGCTTCCGCTTATAAGATATTTAGTTAGTGTTGAAGATAATTTGACAGCTTAGGCCTTGACCCATTATTCTGATCATGATTACTTTCTCTCATCGTTTATGTCGTATTTGCAATAGAAAGTGAGCGCGTACTTGAATAACACCAGTTAATTATACATTTCTTTCAGGAAATTTCTTTGAATAATTCTCGAATTCGTATCGGAAAATTTTTATTCGATGAAATATTTGGTATTGATATTATTGAGAATACTGAAACAGACGAAGAAAGGCTAAGAAACTGCACGTGTGGTAAGAATGTCTTTCACAAATTAAATTTGTCCTTTAATTACTTTATTAAATCTTTTTAAAAATATTAAAAATATTAAAATTTGTTAATATACATATAATTTACGATTAAGTTATTACGTATATTATCTATTTTTACTATACTTATTTTGTTATAGAAGTAATGAATAATTTGTTTGAATTTAATATTTTTAAACACTAAAAGCATTTAAATTTCGATATTGATCTCAGAATGCGGTTTATCTAATCAAGAGAATCGAATAGTGGGGGGACGTCCTACATTACCGAATAGATATCCCTGGATTGCGAGGCTAGTGTATGATGGTCGTTTCCATTGTGGTGCTAGTCTGCTCAACAACGATTATGTAATTACCGCTGCTCATTGTGTACGGAAGTATGTCTTTATTCAATAAGTTTATAAATAAATACAATCAAAACGTAAATAATAACAATAATATAAATACAATAAAGTAAATAGATAGTATCACAAAATTATTAAGAACGACGTCATAATGTGTCATAATTATTATGAACGTTATTGAATAAGTATCTCGTAGAAATTCTAACATAATCTTTAATGTTAAAAAAAAGCATAAGTGTGTGCTTTATTTATATTTTGATTCTATTTAATATATATTATTGCAATTAAATTAATGTTTTTATTTTTCTTTTTAAGTTTAAAACGATCGAAAATTCGAGTAGTACTTGGCGATTACGATCAATACGTAAATACTGATGGAACTCCTGTTATGAGAGCAGTGAGTGCTGTAGTACGTCATAGAAATTTTGATATGAATTCCTACAATCACGATGTAGCTTTATTAAAATTACGCAAGTCTGTGAAATTTTCGAAAAAGATTCGACCAATCTGTTTACCTCAACCAGGTAACATATGCATTGAACAGAATCAATCATGTGTGTGTGATCTGTTTTAAGATATTAAATATTGTATTTTTAATATGTTAATATATACAGGGACCGATCCTGCTGGAAAAGAAGGGACGGTAGTAGGATGGGGTCGTACTTCGGAAGGAGGCATGCTGCCTGGAAAGGTGCAGGAGGTGCAAGTCCCTATATATAGCTTGACGCAATGTCGAAAAATGAAATATCGAGCAAATCGAATTACTGAAAATATGATATGCGCCGGCCGAAATAACCAGGATTCTTGTCAAGGAGACAGTGGTGGTCCTCTTCTTGTTCAAGAAGCCGATAAGCTTGAAATAGCAGGTAAAACATTTATATTTCATTATAATAATATGTATAATTTTTAATAATATTTTTAAATAAATACTGTTTCAAGAAGAAAAAAAAATTTTACGAAAAAGTACAGAAAAAGAAAACTACATTGAGAGTGATATTGTTTGAAGATGAAGGATTTATTGGTTTTTCAAACAAACAGCCACTTTACGTCCTACTACAAATATCTATGAAAAACTAAGAATTTCTTGTTTTAATCTATATAGTTTTTCGTAAAAGTATTTCTGTCAAATGATTATTATTCCTTCATTATTTGAGCAAGCATGTTGTAAAGCAAATATCTCCAGACAACTTTATTTATATTCACGCAAGTGTAAAAATCCGCAGAAATTCTCAATCAACAGACAAAAAAATGATTTTAAAATAATTTTTAAATATACATTTTACAATAATTATTTATTCAAAATAATGATTTGTATAAATATTTATTAAATTATTTAATATTTATCTATAATAATGATTTAAAAAAATAT